CAGAAAGCTGCTTGCTGGACTACCCCCTTTGCTTGAATGATTTTTTTGTTTTTTAATACTTTGAAATAAGGGATCCAAAAGCATCCAAAAGCATCAAATCTCAATGGAAATCTCATTTTTTTGAATAGAAATCTCCATCCAAAAGCCTCCAAAAGAATCAAATCTCAATGGAAATCTCCAAATGTTTAATAGAAATCTCAATCCAAAAGCCTGTAAGATAAGCAAATCCCAGCAAATTCAAAAGGGAAAAAGTAAACTATAACAATTAAAAAAAAACACTACAACTACCCCTCCAAAAAAAAAAGACATTATTCTAGGGGCCTTTATAAATCAGTGCAGGGAAAAAAAAGACATAATTCTAGGGGGGTTTATAAATCTGAGGGCCACATTAACCATCCACTGAATGCGTTTGAAGAATCTTTCTGCCAAGTCTGAAAGAGCTTTGACTTGAGAAGGAGTCAAAGCGTTGAAAGAGGACCGACGGTCTGGGGATCTGCCTGATTCCAAGACGTTCCAAGGCTGCAATGTCTTTGTGATCCCGGTTTTTCACCCCAGCAACGGTGCCCAAAAACATCATCCTCTAAATCTTCATAAGCTCGCTTCGTTCGGCTTTTTCGCGTCTGCTGCGGAAATCGAAGCCATCGGAACCCGGAGCATGTGTTTTACGGCCGGATGAAAAATCCCCAATGCATTCCATCATCTGGAATCTAGACTCAGATGATGTCCAAACATACAAACACTCCAAAGGAGCTTCCAAACCCCCACCAAAAGCACAGCTTCCAACTCCCCAAACTAGCACCGCTTGAAAAAGCTCTGCAATCCGGGATGCCAACTTGCGGGCTTTGGACTTGCCAACCAGGCCCAAATCCACGGCCCAGCGCCACAAACGCATGCTGAGGCGAACCCAAAAGAGCGCCGCCACGCCATCCATCGCCTGAGGGTTGTCGCAGAAAACGTAGCGGGAGCTCGCTGGATGAACACCAATTCATCCGGAAAAAAACAAAATTCTCAAAAAAAAGACAACGAAATTCTGGAAAACCCAGACAAAATGCCAGCCAAATCCCAGACACTCCATGTCTGGCATCTCTGAGCAGGCCAGGGGTGGTTGGAAAAGGGAAGGGTCTGTTCCGTGGGCATTGGGTCGTATCCACCGCAGCTAGGCAGCTACTTCGCCCATCCAAACTTGAGGAAGGAAGGCCAGGGCTTCTGGGAAGCTCTTAAGTGTCGTTGCTTATATTGACAAGTCTAGATCTAAGTGTCGTTGCTTATATGATAGAGAAGTATAGATGATCCCATATTTAAACTACATGAGTGATGAAACACATGGGAACACCAGATGGAAAGACTCCCTCTATCAGACACAGCTCGGTGTCCCTCCGATGTCAGACCCCCCCAAAAGACGGCGCTCCGCATCTCAAGGCGCTCCGCAACGCCTTCTGGATCCGGGAAAACCCACACGGGATGTTCCAAGAACCCGCCCGATGTTCCACGGGTCAGAGCAATGATGGCTAACGATAGTGATAGCCTACTATAGGTCCACTTGGTCAGACGATGACCCAGAAAACACCCAGGCACATGAGTCCACCATGGTGATGCAAGAAAACACTCCCCCTAACAATCCCTTCCCATCCATCCAACAAAAGCGAGACGCCGAAGCCTTTAACGAAAAGCGCTGCGCTGCTGCCCCGCGGCTCCTCCGCTGCGAAGCCCGACGCGGTTCGATCGGCTCGAGTTGCTCGGCGCGTTCCAAGTGGCCCAGGTCATCACGTGGCGCAGCGCCCAGGCAGCTTGAGCCCAGCGCGCGGCCTCCGACAGGTCAGCGCTGGCAAAGTGGGCACGGGCGGCCAGGTCATTGGCGGGACCGGCGGCCAAGTGGGGAATCAAGCTGCACAATTGAGGAACTTTCGAGACGGAAATCATGTAGAGGCCTGGCAGAAGAGGCGGTTTTCAAGAGGATGCTGTTGCTCATGGGAAAGGGGGTGTAGATCCAGACTTGGGAGGATTGGATTCAATGATTTGGGGAAATTGAGGGGCTGCCTGCCAGATACTATAGACCATCATCGACCTAGCCAACTTGTTCACACAATAGGGGGCATCCCCTTCCCATAAATCAAGCAGCCAAGGGAGTGCATCAAAGGCCATCCTTGGTTAGATGATCTGCTACCTTTGGAGCCTCTAGAGATTGGATGGACCAACCATTGTTGACCTCTTGCTCTTGCGCTATTGTCTGTGACCGCTTGACAATCAACTACAAAGTCTATATAATTCAGATGTGGGCATCTCTCGACCTTGAATAAACTGTTGTTGATCCAAGTTTATGCTTGTGGGTGCGCTTGTTGGAGATGGTCTGTATAGTGGTTATAACAGCCAGCTATTCTCCAGAATTGGATGATGGCCTTGCCAGTTTATGCTCCTAGTGGAACGCACAGGTTCCCCCAATCCCCTCGTGCTCTTGGTGCTCTTGCTTCTCGTTTCCAGTCTCGCCATCACGTGCTGCGAGACTTGACGGGTTTTCGTCGCGACGCCTGGTCAAGTGAGGGCCCAAAATGAACTCGCTGGGGCGCTTTCGGTTTAGGGCGAAAAAGAGACGGTGTATGATGCTTCATGATGCTTCCATCTAATCTAATCACCAGCAGCTTGCTGCAACCTGCAGCTGCACCCCAACAAAAGGCCGGCATCTGACAGGTTTCTAAGACAGACGTTTCTTCGAAGTTGAACCCACAAAAGCGGAACCCTCCTCAAAAACGCAAAAAGCCGGGCAGCAATAGCTGAAAGGCAGCACATCACTGCCCACACTTTGAAGCACTCGCGGGGCTAGCACTTCCTGATCACCGTTCTCTAACGATCGAATCCGCATCCGGTCCGAAATCAGCAACGAAAAACCCCAAAAAAAATGCGGATTCTTTGATTGGATGGGAGTTCATTCCATAGTCTTGGGACGTCTTGTTCTTAGAGTATAAGATGTTCAAAAGCCACACATATAGCAATTAAAGCATCATTTTTACAACATGATTTGCATCTTTAAAATGATTTAACGTAGATGATTCAAGCCGTCCCTGGCCGCCAGGACGAACCGCTTCGGCTCCCATTCCATTGCTTTCACCGGCTGAAATATGTCAGGGCTCGTGAACACGTCGATTGAAGCTCTCAAGATGGCTCTCGCCCACATCTTCTTCTTGTCCGTACCACTTCTTGAGCATCCTCAGTCGGACGAGCTATGACGAGCTCGTGTGGTTCACTCTGCCAAAAGTGCTCAAAATGTCTCGAAAAAAGATGCATAGTAGATCGTATAACATTGTAGTAGCCTGTGGATCCTGAAATTTGTTACGGATCTCAGGATGAGAATCTTCAAGTGTAGATAGACAGTTGGACAGACAGACAGACGGACGGACAGACAGACAGACAGCCAGGCCGACAGACAGACGGACGGACAGACAGACAGACAGCCAGGCAGACAGACAGGCAGGCAGACAGACAGACTGGCAGAACAGGCAGAACAGGCAGACAGGCAGACAGCCAGCCAGGCAGGCAGACAGACAGACAAATGGATAGATAGATAGATAGATAGATAGATCGATCGATAGATAGATAGATAGATCGATATATGTGTTTTAATTGTTTATATTTTTGTACGTAGGAAAGGCTTAGGATAGCTTGACTGGGGTGTCTCCCTTCTAGTTTCTGCAGTCCACCCATGGCTCTCGTTCGGCAGAAGTGGTCTGACGTCGGGACACCCGGGGTTGGTGAAAGATCCTCCCGCCGGAAGTGTTCTTTTCTCCAGATAGCAAGAGCTCTTGGGGTTCTTACTTCAATACTTCAAGCAAAAGGAACAGCTGCCGGCCGTGCGCCCGCACGTGCCAGTGCGCAGTCTACGACCAGATGTGCCAGGGTGCCGGCCGTGTGGGATGGATCCCTGGAATCCCGTGAAGCCAAGCCAGTTGGCAGAGCCATTGCTTGGGGGTCTCCCTCTTAAAATACACTGCAATACTATTCCCTGGGGCTCCTGGCCTACCTCCGTGGAGAAGATGGTTGGGGTGGGTGCCAGGGGGGTCGAATACCACCGAGCCCAAACGGGATTAGTTCTATGCTTCGCCACCCCCACAACCTCCTTCGCCGATCCTTCGTGCACCGGCACCGCGTCGACTGTGCCTTCTTCGTTGGTCTGAGGGGCTGAAAGATGGCCTCCCGGTCGCAGCCCAGGGCTTCACCGGTGACGGGATGCCGATGCCCCGAAGCACAGCAGGCACACTGCGCATCCTGGGCACGAGAGCAGAAGCGTGGAGTGCGCCTTCAGGCAGCTGCGTGGGCACCACGAGAAGCGCCGAACCATTCAAGAGGCGTGCTTTCAACGGATGCCACGAAGAGCACCCGACCCTTTCAGATGGATTGCCGGACCGGACTAGATGCGTACGACCTGACCAACTGAAGATCAATTTGAACTGCTTAACTGCCAGGAGTCACATGAAGTTGGGGGTTGTTAGTCCCACCGTACTCCTTCTTCCGTTCGGAACCGACACCAAACTGTGCCCGCTGGTGCTGATTCGAAACCCTCCAACTGATGCGCCAGGCGCCCACCGCCAGCCCGTCAGGTGCTTCGTCTCCCCAACCCCACCAGCAGAGGTGGGTCAGAACCCGAACGTTCGACTATCCTAGTTGGGTACCCCTGGAGGGTCCTAGTTCAGGTCACTGGCTACCTCTGTAGGCAAACACTCCAAACGTTTTCACGAACTTGATGAGGACCCGACACACACCGCTCGCGCAACCGTTTTCACGCGTACCTGGACGCGGAAGTCTTGCAACTGCGAAGGCATCTTCTGCAGGTCGGACATCAATCCGAGGCCAATGTAGTACAACCTGCATTGGCAGTTTGCTCTTAAGGGTCAAGCATCATTTCTGGTGGAAATGGATTGAGAAAAATACATCACATTCATCTACCCCCCCTGAATCCAAACACAGTGCTATTTGCAGATTCTAGTACGAGATTGGCCCAAGTATCTGAATAGATGCTTGGATAGTCAGGGTATCACAATAGATCCGCAAGAAAACATCAACTTCATCCGGCTCAAGATCTCGGGAAACCTGGGAGACACCTGGGAAATGGAAATCGAACACACTTCACCCTCTGAAATCAAAAAGAGCGTCCCATTTGGGGCTCCAGTCGTACCTCTGACCCTCACGTCCTCACGCCCTGGGACCCTCTTCACGTCCTGGGTCACTCTCATCCAACGGGGAGGACTCTCATCCAACGTGAAGTGAACTATATAAATCTTGGGTACTATGATAGTCTATCCTATTACGGTTAGGTTGTAGGCCTGGACCTCTAAAATCGTCATGTTTGCTTGTTTACTGACTGTTACAGGTCATGTCGGACAGACCCAAATTATACACGCATCAAAAAGAGGTTTGCAACACCAATCCGACTGACACGGTGACGGGTGCCATGTCTTTGTTGTACTCGCGCTTCTTCAGTGTCGACCGGGCCTGCCAGCAACACCGAGCACCAAGCCGTTCTTCTGGGATGCAAAAGTCGAATCCCCCCATGCCGTTGCTTTATGGAGGGTTCAAGCCAAGGGGCACAGGGTTGAAAGCTAAGAATGGAAGGAAGAGCGCCAATTTCATCAAATGGGCATAGGCTTGAGAATTTTCGATCTCCTCGGCCAATGATGCCAAGTAAAACGACGCCACCGCCTTCACAGCACCCCTGGTGACAGCACCCTGCATAGTGTTGTCCAAATCCGGAACGGTCGTTTCGCCGATCTAGTATTCTTTTCACGTCCCAGGTCGAAAGTGACGTCCTTTATGATACCTCCCAGACGCTCCAAACAGCCCGACTGGTCCCTCAAAACCATAGGGATCGGGATTGGTTCGACCCCAGACACCTCCAGAGGATTCGGGTCCAGGGTCGCGTCTGGGCTGAACGGTTCTCACGTCTCTTTCCATGAACCATGTCCGAAATGTGCGACCCGAACCTCGCAGCTTATCGCCGATGCGCTGGGGTCGAACTGCCCAGGACCCGTGCTTTTTGGTCGGATCAGGGGTCTGGGGTCGAAGCAATCCTTGGGAACAACTACAACCAGGTCATCCAGCAACACCAGGTCATCCAGATCTAAGTCGAACTCCACCCCAAGGCCTCAACGACCACTGGAATTCAAAGAGACAGTACACCCCTGGATTCTCCAAGTTTCTCTGTGATTCCCATGGTGACTGTCACCCCAAACCACCCCAAACCACCGAGGCTCCGAGCCCCTCGACGTGTCGGGGAGTCAACGAAACGGTGCGCGGGGGTGCGGGAGTCAACCACCGAGGGTTGGGGGTTGGGGGTTGGGGTCCCCAACAGACCACACACGAAGTTGGGGTTGCCCGGATCGGAGTTTGGGGTCAGAGATCAGTCAGGCGGACTGACCGGACCACAGACAGAACATGACAGTCTCGCATCTTTACCTCCCCGCCCCTTCACCCATGTGACCTGCTTTCGACCCAGTCAAGGTGCGGCACCTAGGAGCTCGATGTCATCGATTTGGAGGCTCACCGTCTGCAATTCCTTCTCCATGGCCTTCGACCAAAAGGACTGACCGAAGGTGACCATGTGCTCGGCCATGCAGAAGAGGAACAAAATCACCGCCAGCTTCCTGGCGTTACAGTCGAAGTGGACTCCCAACCGAGCGTGGAACATGCACCCCGCGCGGAGGGAGATAAGCGGGGAAACTCAAGTATGGCCCAGTGGGGACCCCTTCTTTGTAGCTCAAGGGGACAGTCGGACTTGGAGGAGAGAACAGTTCGAGTGCGTTTTCCGGTACCTTTTGGAGCGAACGACTTGGTTTGTGAGTGAATTTCACTTGCTGGGTGAATTCCCATGGCTTCTTCAGCCAAGATCAGAGTGGTACTTCTTGCGAGAGATGTCCTGTGTGGTTTGGAATCTTGGGAAATGCGAAACAGCTTCAAGGATAAAGAGCTGGACAGTCACAGTTCCTGGATTCCTTGCCCTTGCCTGATAGGTCTTTTTCATGAAAGCATGAAAGCACTGAGTGGAACCGAAATGGCACTCCCTTGTGGTTCCCCAAAAATAGAGGTGTTTTTGCCAGCAGCGTGGAAGTCAATGGCTCGGCTTGTCTACGGTGGTTATGGCTACAAAATAGCATCTAAACCCTCTGATCAACTTGATTGGATGGTCGAACTCAAGTATTTCAGATATTTTCAGATGATCCTTGACTGTTTCTGCTACCTGTCTTATATATTCAGGCTTTGACTTTGGCATACTTTGGCCTAAAATCAGTGCATAGTGTATTGCTGCCCATTGAGTCTGTCGGTGGAGTCCAATCCGCTGTCCATCGACTCGAATCAAAATAAGTCCATAGATAGATCGTTCAAAGGAGTTCGTTACTTCATCCATCAGACAGACTCCATCAATCCACTCAAGCATGAACCCCCCAGGCCTTCTCTTTATGACGCTCCCAAACCCTCTCCTATTTTCAATTTAGGACCTTTCGATTGGGAGAAAACTCACTATATAAATCTATATAATATATATATATATCTTTGATCGTCTTACATGGAGAGAAACTCATTGCATCCATCCATCTAGTTGTTGTCCTCTTTTCATCTCTGTCTTTGTTCGTTGAATTAGCTGGTTTTACCCAAGCTTCACTGGCATCACCAAGATGGTTTTCTGCTTCCTTGGTGCCGAGAAAGCAAGATCCAAACAAACAAACCATACAACAGCCAGCGCGGAAAACGATACCAAAGCTCATCATGATCCCCGTGAAGCAGTCTTCATGCTGATGAACAAACCTCTCCCCAGAAAAAATTGACCTGGCAGAACCAGGATCGTTTGGTGCTTCATATGCTTGAAATGGGCTGGGTATTCATGCAAAGGACGTTCACTATCTCATAGGATCCTGGGACCTTAAAGCCTCAGAGCTTTGGTTCCTGGTTTTGGGAGATTTCGGCTAGGAACCACCATGGCCCTGGCACCAAGCACCAGTTTGTACCGCAAACTTTCCCAGGCCGTTGTGACTTCATGGTCCAGCTGTACTGTATGCAGAGGCAGCTAAGCATACACACAGATGCACAATGGAACTGACAAGATAAGGAACACAGACGGATGACAACAACGACAAAGACAGCAAGAGCAACCACACTTCCGCTAGTTGAATCCTCCCATTTCCCCAAAATCATACGATCGCTCAGCCAAGAGACTTGGGATCTCTCAAAAAGGTGCTAACCTCATAGGTACACCTCAAGCATCAGGGCTGAGGCAAAAACCTGTTCAATTCTCAAGGAACCGGTGGCCCATGGCAGACCATGGCAGACCTTGCCCGACCGGTTCATGGTGTTGGTCGTGCGCATAAAAAAATGGTGCATTGGGTTCTAGGCCGGGTTTTGACCGATCCCCATATCAGTCAGTGGTGGAATAAAACATTCACTGTTCTTTCATGAATGTCATCCCTACGCTTCCTGAGGTTTTGACCTCATAGTTGGACTTACATGAACCATAATTCCAGAATTCAGTGATTCTCCCAACATCACTCCCGAAAACTCACATGGAAGTCATGGAAGCGGAGTTCACCTGTTTCTAAGTGGAAAAACTGCTCTTCCTTACGGAACCAGGACCTCCTACGTCACCACCGTTTTCGTGCCGAATTACCCAAAATCGAACCTCGATCTGGTCCAAACACCCGGGCCAAGGCGCCACAGGCGGCGGAAGTAGCGATGCGACCAGAAGATGGTGAGCTGCCGAGAGGCATCCAAAAAGTTGACCTGAAAAAGAGGATCCACGGCCACTGGGACACGAGATCAACGAGATTTTGCTGTTTGATAATGAGTCCAGAGCTCAACGAGCCATCTGAGAGAGACGAGCTGCGAAGGCGCGCTCCAACATGCTTCGGTTCAATGCGGGTGCACGGGATCTGCCGAGTGGGCGTCTCATCACAGATCAGACACCCGGCCACCCCACTACCGCAAGAAGCCCGGCTCAGGTGGACACGTCACGTCGTTTGGGGAAAAGATGAGAGCTTCATGTCCCTGGGATTCTGGCTCCACCACCGTTGGGGAGAAGTGATTGGATGAAAGACCAGAGGGAATCGCGGCAAGCCCGCTCTGCATGTGGACCCTTCCCATCGATACCCTCAGGTGGTGCAGAAGTTCCTCCAGAAAAAGGCCAAGTGCTGCTGTTGATGAAGGTTTTGCTGCGTTGAATAAAGATGGCAACTTCTGGTCACACTGGAGCATATGGAGATGGCCTGCAAGAGCCGTTCTAAAGAAAAGTGTCGCCCAGCGGCTATGCCGGAGATGGCTTTCTTCTTCAGCTCTTCATCATGCTGAGCTATGCAAAGCCTGGACTCAAACCAAGGGTATGAAAAAGGAACCCGTTTCAGAAACGCCTGATCCAAAGGAAACGCCAGATCAGCTTCAGCTTCGGGTTCCGTGGGAGTTCCATTTCCGTAGGGGTACTGATTCAGCCTACATAGCATCCACCAGGGTCCATCAGGGTCTCTCGGTGGAGATTTGACCAGTTGTTCGTTTTCGGAACCCAGATGCCGCCGAGCGGCTCTGAGAGTAGAAATAAGTATATAGAAATGGGTAACGGTTACCGTATGCCACGTGAGGTCGGCACTCGGCACAGAATCATTTGGATCTACCGTCGAACAGCTCCACCACGACTGGTCGAACAGCTCCAACGACTGGTGGAAGATAGAAGCTATTTCGGCAAGATGGCAAGGCTGTGGGATGAATGACTATACTCAGAAGGTGGTTAGATCCCACCCCAACCATCTTCTCAGAAGGTGGTTAGAGCCCTAGGGATAGTGTTTTGCATCCCTGAAACCTTCAAAAAACATGGGTCTTCACATTCGTTCACATGTTTTCCCCTCAGGGCCTTGTGTGTATGAGGTCGTGTGTGAGAGATGTTCTTCGAGTCTGCTTAGTCCGAACCGAACTGAACCCTGCAACGATGCAGTCCGATGCAGTCGAGCCAACCCCTCCTGACCGAACGGGATCCAACGACGAGGTGCACGGAAGTCCTCTGACGTCCGGTCTTTCACCTCCGAAGCCCCAACGGGGAGTCCGATCCCCTTTCCATCTTTCATGGAAGGAGTCCTGCTCAGATGGAGGAATGCCCTCCTCCTCTCCGTACAAAAACTATTGGGTAGCCAAACGATCGAAAGTTTAAGTTGTCTTAATTTGTTGACAGTTCTGATGAACCTTGATGAACCCACCTCTGATGAGACTCCCTGTTCTCATGAAAGGATTCTGTCCTTCAGGAACACGGGTTTTTGGACTCCACCATGCCCGCACGGACAGCCGGACAGCCCCTCGGCGACGCAAAAACGCAGGCGGATTGGTGCTGCTTGGGTGCATATCAAAGAAGACCATAAGTGGTCTTTGAAAAAGCCTCCGAATCCTGCGCATCATGATGCGTGCATGCGAGCAAAGGCAGGTGCTGCGTGTTCGTTTGCGAAGCGGTTCCAAAAGAGGGTGTGAACGGTTCCTGCGAAAGTTGCAATCAGAAGGCCGGACTCTGGGGAAAAGGACTCCATCCTTCAAGAACATTAAGCAACATGGTGGATGACTTTGATTCTGGAACAGAAGTGGCAAAAATACCTCTGGGAAAAGAACACACGCACACCCACACGCACACGCACACGCACACGCACGAAGCGCGTGTCTTTTCGCGGATGAGGTCACCTGCCATCTGTCCTGCGCTTCTGTCATGTCCGGATCCATTACCAGGATCCTTTCCGGCGGTCCCGGCGTGACGGTCCTCTGCCAAAAGCAAAGCACCAAAGGGAAAATGGCATAAGACACCAGCTCAGACCAAAGCTCATTGGGCAAGACCTGCACACACAGAACGACGGGATGTGAAAGATGTTGAATTGGTCTCATGCCTGGAAAAGAAGGCATGGCATGTTTTGTTTGAAGACTTGGTGTTCTTTCAATGCATTGGACAACAGGTTGCATCTCAAACAAATATGGACATTCTGTAAGTACACTGTAGGGCTAGCTCCCCTACATCACAGATCAGCAATCAACCTTAAACTCGATCCTGCTCAAGAAACGGATTTTAAGACCATGATGAAGTAAAAAAACACTCAGATATATATATATATATATATACATATATGATGTTCCTTGATGAGACTTCGACCGGTTTACCTCTCTAAATTCACGTGATCTTCTTTGCCTAAGAGGAAACCTCCTTAGAATCAGGATCAACCAGTTCTGAGATCGGCTGGATGATTTCGGGCCTGCCCTGGGTGTCCATTCATACCAGTTCCCAGGGCACAGACCTCGTCCCCTTCCCTTTTGACGAGGTGGTCTTGAGGACCTGTGTCTAGGTCCAGGACATCCAGCTTGGTCACAACAAGATTTCAACTATCTTCGACCCCTGGATGATTCAAGACCATGAACCCCCCCCCCATTGCTTGGAGAGAGCAATCCACTGATGCCCGGCTGAAGTGTCTAATGTGTGGTTTGCCCATCTGGGGGAGTTCATTCTCGTTGCCCAGATGCCTTGGCGGGAGAATCCGGCGAGAATCGTTCGGGTGGCGGCATTGCACGGCTTCATCGTTCGGATGATCCAACCACTGAACGCTCATCCAGTGATCCAGCCTGAAAAACCTGGATCTTCCAATCTACCGAACTGGGCGGACCAAAGTCTTGACATCCATCTTGCACGTCCGTTGGATCTTCTCCACATCGGTACATCCACCGGTCTTCGTCTGATCCGGTGAAGAGACTCGGAGGGCGCGATCGGATCGTTTCGCTCCCCGCCCTGCTTCCACCTGCAGTGATCGTAAGATTCCCACAGAGAGGCTAAAGATCAGCGAGCAGAAAAAGGCCGCCCTCGAATTGTAAATCATGAGCCTCAAAAGCAGCGATGTCCTTTTGGCCTTTTGGTGAAGAATAAGGTTTGGTATCCTATAATGTGTATATTATATATATATATATTATAGGATTTGTTAGTAAAAATTGATAATTTAAAAAATGGTAGCAATTATTGTATAATTAATGAAATGTATCTCCATGTCACATTACTCTCCGAGTATCTTTATGTATCTCAATGATTCTCAATATATCTTAAAATGAAACGTCATGACTCATGATCTGCGGCCACCCAGTCAACTGTTTACAGCCGCCAAACGGACCTGATCAGATCGGCCATGAAGAAATGGTTGAACAAGCTGTGGAACAGGCTGTGCAACAAGCGGTGCAATCCCTACATCTACCACTTGGGAAGACTGAGCAATGGCTGTCTTGACGAACATGTAGCTTTCTTGCCAGTCTACCTGGGGTTCCTTCTTCAAGGTGCAGGATGTACCGGTGAGTCACATGAAGAAGAGGCGAAGTTCAGCGGGTGTTCTCGGGTCTTCTGTTCTTGGGGTGTTTTCTCCCTGGAACTCACAGACGAAATGAGACTTTCACACCCTGCACAAACCGATGGGTCCGAACGAGGCGACCGGGGCCCAAAGGGCCCTGGTCCGTCCGAATCCAGGTCAACGGTAGAGCTCCAGAGAGCGAAGAATGAGCGTTCTTGAAGCCGTTTAAACCGCCTGCTCCAGGCCACGCTCAACGGTGCGCCCCCCCCGGAATCCGACGCGAAACAAAGAAAGAGACGGTCGCCAAAGTGGGATCCAAGATGCATGGAAAGCAGCTTGTGCATGCGCGGTGTGTCCCAATCATGGCTCAAAAACTCGTCGAAGCTGTCCTGGGAAGGAGATATCTTGGCATATGCTCATGCTGCCAGAAGCGGTGATGTTACAAAAACATTCGATAAACTGTGTTAGTTCTTGTCTTCTTTCTTGGGAAAAAGGGAAGTGGTTGGTTTGAAAGAAGTGTGGTAAACGGATGTAAGCCCATCGAAAGCGAGGACCAGGTGGGTAAGCTGGGGTGGCTGTAAACCTGAACAGGTATGAATGGGTGGGAGTGAGACAGGATGGGGCTTCTGTCAAATGCATCAAAAGAGAACTCCAGGTGTTGGTGCTACCATTCCCTTCTGCTCGTGCATGATCAGTCAAAGTGGCTAGCAGCAAGAGGAAGTTCTCAGCTGAGATCCAGACTTTGTGGCGTTGGTCAAGAGTCCCAAAAATCCTTCCCTGCAGCCGGTTGATGAAAGTTTCTTAAGGTTTTTTTGTTTTCTGTTGAGGCCCCCACGCAAGTGATGATGTTTTAGTGGAGTTGAGCGTAGGGAGTTCCTCCTGGCCTTTCAAGGACCTCTCGTTCAGAGCCGAGGTAAGCAGCCAGAGGAGAACGGTCCCCGCCTTCCAAAAATCACCAGCGAAGGAAAACGATGAAAGAGACGTTCCCATTGAGTTCGGTGCGAGAGATTCATCCAAGCATCCGTTTGCCGGCTCAGGTTGTAGCTTTCCTGGCGAGACTGAGAGCCTGTGGGGTAGACCACTCCACTTCTGACGGTCGATGAAATGGGCTTCAGAGGGATCCTTGAAGGCATGTAGACTGGGACTCATCGAAGTGGATGGCATGGCCCCACGGGATTACCTTTTTCCTCTATACTAATAGGTCGGTGGTGGTGCCATCCACTTCCGATTCCAGGAAGGGTCTCTATTGGTACAGTCGGTCAAGCACCCCCTTGGATCAGATCGCGCATGGTGGACCTTGTTGTCGCACCCACTGGAGACGGGGTCCTACATCTCCGAGACGCATGCAGAAAAAACCGAGAAAAAGATAGAAAAAGAACGGCCTCTGATGCCCCGAACCATTCTCTCTGATGCCCCGAACCATTTGCCCCCAAACCTTCCCCGTGTGTTTTTTTCCACCACTCGACGTACGTACAGTATACAGTACGAGTGATCGCTGGTACAGCGGATCATTGGTCGCCCGGTTCAGCATCTCGCTTGGCACTTCTTGGGATAGGACGGGTCCTATCTGGGAGGCGAACAAACGGATGGAACCATGGTGGAACCATGGAAAAACATGGAAAAACCATGGCACTCCAAATCCTCTCCTTTACCCCTGAAGCGGGAAACATGTCTGCGTTGTCGAAGACATGGTCATCATGGTCTGAGTCTGAAGCCTCCAGTTCCAAATGGAAAACTTTGAAGTGCATCTCCTCCTTTTCAGAGACCTCCAAGTCAATCCTAACCATCCATCCTCCCCTCTTCTCTGGGATCTCCAGTTCCAGGACACCCCCGACAGCTTGGTCCAGGCAGACGTCACAGGTCGCTCGGGGTGGCCGGCTCCGAACGGACGTCGGGATGCCCCGATGGTCACAGGCCCACGGCCCCGAACGGCTTGGGACGAAGCAAACCACTGCAGGGCCCTCCATGTGACTGGAAAACCACTCTCTTCGGACACCGGTCTTTTCGCGGAAACCCGCGACTCCTGACTGTTCTGCAGGATCCCTGAGTCTGGTTTGGTAAAATGCCGCGCCCAGCCGCTGAGGCAAATATCCTGAGCTGGAAGCATCCGCGAGTTCGAGTGAAATGGGCCAATGCGAAGGGTATGTCCAAACTTGCCAAGTGGGTAAATTGGGTTGGACATGCTAGGACCCAACCAAACAGTTCTACCAAGTACCAGCACAATCCCTATACTATACAAGTCCAAAGACCCAGTAAAACCTGGTCTTTTACCTCCTTAAGTATTGGTTTTGTATGACAATTCCCAGTACAATGAGGTCTTTGACTTGGTGCGGGAATGGGAATCAAGTCTTAAGTCTTCTGGTCGCGGAATCCGCGGAATCGGCACTCGCTCTGTCTTCTCACCCGTGACCCGTGACCCGTGGACGGTCCGTGGGACCGGATGTGACCGATCTGAATCAATGATGCATGGCTTGTTCGGAAGAATCTACGGTTGACTAGAACATGTTGAACTAGAACATGTTAAGGTTTTAGATGGTTTTAGGGTTCCACATGTTCCTGACTAGAAAGCCTTTCCGAAAGGGTGGCCTGATGGGAGACAGCCTTGCTTTCATCGTCCAAAAACGACCTAGATATTCCTGTATACTACCCGCAAAAGACATAGGAGTTGTGGCACAAGTGAGATGGGCAGCGCCCACCAACAAGTCCTAACTCATGTTGCTTCAGCTAGAAACCAATTCTGGGATTGAATGGATTTTCACCCATCCAGTAGTCTTAAGCCGCCTCAGAGCCTGGAAACAAGCAGAAACAGTTCGAATATGCTTCGAAGATGGCAAGGCATGAGATCCTTTAGCAAGGAAGTACCTCAAGCTGGCGAGTTCCATCCATTTCTTGGACCATCTTGGAACTTAACAACAGATCCAGCAAACTGGATCTCTAGACCGACCACGTGACCCACGAAACGCTGGCTCCCATTCATCTCACAGCATCCATGGTGACTCCTCGAAGCAACTCCGGGTGCAACTCTCCATCCGTCAGCGACGCCATGGGCACGCCGACGGACGCCCCAAACCGTCCTCGTCCGAGACACGCTTCGTGTCGAACTCGCTGCGGTGCGGGGAACCCGTACGAGGTCGAAAAGAGGTCGAAGCCACAGGCTGCTTGGGACCACACTCACTCGCAAAGGGAGTCCGAGGCGTATGTGGCGCGGTGTTCTTTTTGGGAGTGTGTCCAATGTGCTAATGTGCTGGAGTTTGGGAGTGATTACTATACCAAGCTGGGCCTGCAATGTGCCCACGAGTGAATTATGGGCATCCAACTCTGGCGATATATCTTGGATTCTTGGATTCTTGTCTTTTGCTATTAGGTTCAAGGCCATCGCTATTAGGTTGGAGGCCATTGCTATTAGGTTGGAGGCCATTGCTATTAGGTTGGAGGCCATTGCTATTAGGTTGGAGGCCATTGCTATTAGGTTGGAGGCCATCGCTAATAGGTTGGAAGCCTTCTTGTCTTTTCTGATGATGCCCCCAGCTATGCCGCCCTTTCTGCAGCGATGCTCCTATCGATTCTCCTGGCCACCCCAGGAGTGCTTGAGCCACGCTGGGTCGGAGCGCCCGTTCCCGGAAACCTCAGAAAATCTGAAAGGCTCCTAGCTCACAGTCTATGGGTATCCCAACCAGCAGAGGTTGAAGAACCCGAACTAGACTATCCTAGTTGGGTACCCCTGGTGATGGGTCCTAGTTCAGGTCACTTCACCTCCTGTAAGGTCCTATACGCCCACGGCTGGGCGACGACGTGCGACCGGCGACCGGAGCGTTCCCTCAGCCGACAGAGGCTCGGAGCTTCGGAGGATTGGAGGCTCGGAGGGTCTTTCACTGAAAAAAAAGAACCACCTCTTGGTCGGAATTGGAATTGACCCCCCATTTGGAGCACACAACTGCCACGTCGAAACCCAACAGTCTTAGTGAATCTTCTGGAGTTGGACGTGTTTTCCTGAACATCCAAGAGATGGACGTGGATTTCGACCGCAAAGACCAAGGCCTTGAGGCCCTTTTGGCACCTGCAATCGCCCTCTCTGTTGTAACATCTGAACTCTAAAAGCCTGCCAAAAGTCATGAATGATTCACTCCAAAACAACATCGGCGAACGCGCGGGAAACAAAAAAAAGGCACCCTGCACAGCTGGAGTCTTGAAAGAGCACCCTGCGTTCCCATCCATGCGTTCCCATGGTTCGACCCGAACTCACTGGTCGCCCCAATTCGCAGACCACGGACATGTTCAGAACTGGGGTTGGGTCAAATCCAGGACACCGACCGGTTGACCTCTCCAAGAACCCATTTCTTACGGGTCAAGACGGATTGTTTCCGGTCACCCATCCTCTTTTGTAAAGACCAAGAAATCCTATGGGCCACACAGCATCAAGCGGCCATCAAGCAGCCAGTGGCCACCCCCTAGTTGCATCATGTTGCATCTTTAAAGCACCTTCTCTGAAAAGATCATAGATGGATCCCTAATGGTGCATTCATGATGCAACCAAAGAAGCGGACTATGTCCGGTTGAGTGCCCTTCCTTGTTCAAACCAATTCCCGGACTCCTCCAGAACCAACCACCACCTGCGCCTCCGATTCATCCAAACATTCATCAAAAACCTGCTTGATCGCTACCCTACAGGTCAAGGACCTTTCCCCGGGTCGGGTCGTACATACAAAACAATTAAAAGGAGTAGAGTAGATCAATGAGGTCCTTCCGACCAAGTTTAACAAGTGTTACTTCGCTCCAGCCGATCTAAACGCGGATGAAACATGCTAAAACTCAGGAACCTGACCACCTCCTCTAGCCACTCAGCAACTGGGTGTGGCACTTCTGTGCGATGCCCGTCATGGAGTCGGAGCAGCGCCAGCCCACTGGGCTGCCAGGATCCTACGACGTAGGTCGTTACGGTCAAAGCGTTACGGTCAAAGTTCCAGCAAGTCAAGTGGTGCCTAAAGAGAACTGCGGTCACACTTAGGGTGCTGGTTGAGGCAGAGTTTAGATTTAGGGTGCTCACACCTGTTGGCGGGTAAAATTTGCTGCCACTTAAATCCTTGAAGTGCATTTCGACTGCGCAGGCTCGCATGGTCCACCTACCACCTCATCTGAGGTCTCGCCATTCCTTCCTCGAGGAATGCGATCGTGCCGTGATGTGCACATGCACATGTTCAGACGTGGTGGTCTTTTTCTTGGCAGGCACAAGGAAAGCCTCGTGTGTTGGGCGGTCGGAAGTCAACAAAAATCGTGGCAGGTGCAGGAGATCAGAGCCCTGGACGACTTCGATGTGCAGGCTCTGATGGCACGATCTGAAATCTCATGGCAGTTGCAATGGATTTCATGGAGCTTTGGACATGTGGCTCGTTTTCGGAAGACTTGGACGATGTCTGTCTTAATGTTGTCTTTGGACATGCTTGCTGCTTGCGAAGCGCACGAACAAACAGGGCTGCGCAATGTGAATCGAAGCATGTGCAGATTTTGTGGCAGATGCAGCACTTGGTGGTCAAGTCGGCCTAAGTATGTGCTCTCATATGTGCTTTCATGTACATGATATATACGTATATCATAGCATATCATATCATATCATATATGTATCGATGTATCATGTATTGTGCACTCTCACTTGTGTGCTCTCATGTGCTTGCTCACATACATGATCTCATGTATGTGCTCATTCGAGTGCGGAAGTTTGCTTATGGACCTTTGCCTTGTTTTGCTCTGATGTTTAAAACGAACTGAGTGTTTTGATGTTTTTTGGGGGGGTTCAACCCCTAAGTGCTTGCTGGGGATCCTGATACTTCGTCTGGATGGATTCCTCGCACTGTCTCTTCAGCGTCTCAAGACGCGCGACGCGACGCGACGCGCGTCGTTGCTTGCAGCGCTCCTTGGTGTAGTTGCTGCTGTAGACATCTGGATCAGGACACACGTGAAAGCTGCACATCGGCCGCTCCCAACTGGCTTCTCCTGCCGTGAAACCAGCGGCTGGAGAAGCGGTTGGAGGGAAAGAGAGAGAGAGAGAGAGGAGAGCAACTACTGAGCCACTTCGTGAAGGTTGGGATCGCCCATGCAAGTCGCTTCATCATAGAACTGAGTTTCAACATGATTCAATAGCCCAAGAACTTGGAGAACACCTGACTCTTCTCGGTCCTGTTGGAACCCCAAACCCCATTTATCCCACCCCCACGACCTCCCCACACACTCCCAAGCCTCTGGGCAACGTGTTTTCCGGCGAGCACTGGGCCACCGTGGGCACCCCCTCGTAGGGCGCGCGGCAGTGGATCTCGCAGCTGCCGCCCGGCGGCAGCTGCTCAGGGCACACCGCCACGAAGCGGCACAGGTCTTCGCCAAAGGTGGGCCTGGATGACTTGGGATGGATGGGGCAGGGCTCCGACTGATCTAAGATGAAGATGAGAAAGAGGGAGAAAGGGATGGCCACACCAAACAGAAAGAGGTATGGTCTAGAGATGAGAAAGAGGACTGAAGAACCTGTGGACCTCGCGAGGTCACCAATCCGCAAAATACGGTGACACCCGGTGACCGGACACCTGTTTCCCTGCATTGGGGTGAAACCTGCTGGGGGGGGTGGAAGTGATAGGTCAGTGGGTGTGACTGGTCAAAGAAAAGGAGTGATGGGGTGACGGCTCTGGAGGGCCGTTTCGTGTCTGCACCGCGTTTTCGCCACCAACTGGTGGCCCAAGCTGACGAAGCTTCGCTTCGACGAAGTGTCTGATCTTCAGTGTCAGGTCCGAAGCCGATGGTACCCAACCGCTCTGAAGAGGTCCGAAATGATCAGGTCCCCAGGAAGGATTTGATCGGCATTCTAGACTCGCACATACAGTGTGTGTGTGTGTATCACCTGTGTCAGCAACTGTTTCGCTGCTGCGAGGATGGTCCACCTAGATGTGGGTCCTCCTTAAAAAACTCTGGAAGAAGAAGTGACAAGACGGGGTGGTGTTTCGTCCCATCCAGTGACTTGGATGTTCAGGCACCCCGACTAGCTCCATGGATAGCACCCCGGTCGAACGTGACTGCTGGTTGGACCTTGGAGATCTGAACTTCTCGCCGCTGGAGATCAGTCCGGCTGGACGACATCGGGCCGGAGCTCACCCGCGCCCATGGTGTGTTCGCGACGGTGTCCGAAACCAATGGCCGTGTGCCAGAATCCACTGTAAGAACTGGATACATGATATATATATATATATATAGATGAATCAAAATGCATGCCATACAAGAATGCCCGGTTCATCGTTTAAACATGGAAAAACTAGAGCACAAAAGCGCAATGACACAGTTGCACACAAAAATATCTTGCCAAGACTACTGAAGACCGCTGTTTCTTCTCTCTCATTCTCAGAGACAGATCCCAAAAAAAGCACCACACAGGCAGTTTTTGGAAAGCAACTTCTTCCAAGTTAGGGTTGTTGGTAGACTCAACGTCAGTGGCCCGGGATTCTCGGTGACTTCTCCATTCCACAGTCCTCCATTGAAAGTGGGGAAGGAGAAAAATGAGGAGAGGGACTGGGGCCAGCCCCCACTGGGATAGTATATTCAGTATTCTGACCACCTTCAGAATAACCACCTCGTTCATGAATTACCCTGCTAAGAACTCACATGGACCCTGAAAAACCACTGGTTTTGTCGAGGAAAACAGTCGGACTCAGGGTGCTCCCCAGCGCCCTCAGACTCGTTCAGCCCCCGCCCGCATGACGCACCTCAAGCAGGGCACGATGGGCCAACAGCCCTCCAAGTGGAGCTCCGCACCGCACCTGAGATAGGGAGACAGCTGAAATGAAGGCGCTATGTTCTTTGAATGAATAGTCTCCATGAGGATGTGGGCCAGGAGCCCTAGGGAGTATTGGGCAAGCCAATCGATTGCTTTTTCGACCTGGTACTGAACCACGAGTGAGATCTCACAGGGTGGATCTGCCATGAGCTCGGCCAAAATGTCTACACTCCCGAAAACCAACATAGACCCGGGTCCAACCTGGAAGATTGAATCCGCTACCAGCCCAGTGGTTTTCAAGGCCCTAGGATCGTCTTCCAGGGTGTATCCATCACAATCCAATGGTCAAAGCCTGTTGCCATCGATTCTCCTCACTTCGCTCGGAAATCCCACCTTCAGTGCGCTCCCTCCCGGCTCGCGAAGGGGAAGTCGCGACGGGAAGTCCCTCACAGCTAGCTCTACCGCCATGGGTCTTGAGTGAAATGAT